CGGGGCTACTCTTGTTAAAGGGGCAGTGCTCCTCGACTGTGGGACCCACCGGGCGGGGACCCAGGAACCGAGCTCAGAACACAGAACGGCCAGCCGGACGTCGGCATCCGGAAGGGTTATCGGAGCCTGAGGACCGGAGAATAGTGGGGGCGGGCCCTGGAGGAGACCCAGACCCCGGACCCGCGCACGTCGCCGCCGTCGGAGGCGCGCCTGGGGGCGGGGCCTCCACCCTGGCCCCGCCCAGGAGGCGGCTCAGCTTAGGCCCCGCCCCTCGGCGCGCGGCGCCGGCAGGCTCCTCCCTCGGCTCCAGTCAGCGCCTCTCTCCTCCTGCCAGCCGGCCCGTCGTTCTAGAATTCGCCGCGCAGCTGCCTCAGGTGCAGGGGCCAAGTGCGGTCGGCGGCGGCGTAGCCACTCGTGCGCACTGTCCCCGCCTGGCCCTCAAGTTCGGCAGTCCCCGCAGCCCCGGCCACCACCTCACGCCCGGTGCCGTCTCAGGCCGGAGCTGCCCTCTCAGGCCCAGACCACCCCTCCCGACCCAGACTGCACCCTCAGACATGGGCTCACCACCTCAGGGCTAGAGGGACTCCTCAGGCCCCCAATTATGCCCTCAGGCTAGGCTGCTCCCGAAGGTCTGGCCACACCCCACTCCACCTGCTGAAGTTCCCCTAACCACTTCAGAGGCAAGCCACGCCCTCAGGATTGGCCCTTCCCTCCAGGCAGCGCCACGCCACCACTGCCGCCGCGGCCACCACCACCAGACCCCAGCTCCAGACTTCGGCAGACTACTCAGCCCCAGCTGGGTCCTCATACACCGTTTCAGGCTTGGGTTGCCCTCCAAGGCTTTGGCTACCGGTCAACTGTTGAGGATCCTGTCTGGCTTCCTTAAGCTCCATCCTGCCCCTTAGATCTAGGCCACCCATACAGGCCCAACTACCTGAGGTGTGAGTGCCCCCCCCCCCCCCCGCTCCCTACTGCCCCTGAGTTCTGCTAACCCCCATCTGGCCCAGGACATCCCATTTAAACCCCACCTGCCCTTTCGGCCCAACTATCCCAACCATCTGAGCCCTAAATACTCCTCTCTCCATTTTTTACCTCACCTAACTGCTTTCTCGGCCCATCTCCAGTTTAGTTTGGAAGTCATCCCTAGTTGGATAGAATTGCTCACCTCTAACAGTTTCCATTTGGCTTTTTCTGTCCTTTGTGCAGCCTACATGCACTTCCCTAACTTCTAGTATTTTTTTTTTTGGACCGGTAAGGGGATCGCAACCCTCCCCATGGTGTGGTCTGCACCACGCTCAGCCAGTCAGCGCACTGGCCATCCCTATACAGGATCCGAACCCGCGGCCTCGGCGCTACCAGCGCTGCACTCTCCCGAGTGAGCCACGGGGCCGGCCCTAGTATTTTTTTTTTAAAAAAAAAAAAGATGACCGGTAAGGAGATCTTAACCCTTGAGTTGGTGTTGTCAGCACCACGGTCTCCCAAGTGATCTAACCGGCCATCCCTATATAGGGATCTGAACCCATGGCCTTGGTGTTATCAGCACCACACTCTCCCGAGTGAGCCACGGGCCGGCTGGGAGGGATCCGAACCCATGGCCTTGGTGTTATCAGCACCGCACTCTCCCAAGTGAGCCACGGGCCAGCCGGGAGGGATCCACGGGCCGGCCCTATCTTCTAGTATTCTTAACTGCCTTTTCTACCCACGCCAACTGGCTCTCAGGTCATCATTGGCTGCCTCTAATTCTGGCTCTGCTCAGCTGACCTCTTTGCTCACCTTCTTAACTATAGACATTTCCAACTGCCCACTCCATCGCCATAGGGAATATCACCAATTGACCGCTCTGTCCGCCCTTAACTTTCACTAACCACTCATGTCTGATTCATTTAACAACCATCAATTCTGCCACTTCTGTACCCCCAATCACCGGTTCTATACCAACTATCCCCAAATGCCTCTGCCCCATCCAGTCTTCACCTGTCATCCTTTTTCATTTCATCATCATATTGCCAGTTGTCACTTAACTGTCATCTGTAAATTTCACTTACTCTACACATTTAGCTTCAGGAAAATTTCCTTTCTCCTTTACCTTTTACTACATCCACCTTTCCTGTGTTCATCATCTTCAACCTGTATGTTCATTTAACAGTCCAGCACTAAAAATACCTCTTTCCTTTTTTAGGATACACATATCCTCTTTTCATTTGCTAGATATGCTACTGGTCTCATCCTTACAGCCGTTACATGAGTGAATGATTCTTTTTCCATTATCCTCCCAGCACCAAGGAGGAGACTCAGTCCAGCTACCCAGCCCAGTCCAATCATGCAGATACAGGGAGACGGAGACAACCTCATCCCCTTTGCCAAGTGAGTCCTTCCTACTGGGTGGGAAGAATGGGAATGGAATGGAGAGAAGATTGCACGTGCGGGTCCTTCCCTGAGAAGAGTAGGAAATAAGGAACAGGAAGTTCAGTGCCTCATCTCAGGGGATTGATGATTCATTAATTTATTCAACAAATGGTTTTTGAACACAGCAATATTCCAAGAACTGTATTAGGTGCTGGGGATTCAACAGTTAGCAAGATAGAGGTCCTCTTCTCATAGATCTTATATTCCAGGTGGGGGGAGATGGGATATGTAAACAAATAAATATAATTTCAGCTAGTGATGAGTACCATGAAAAAAATAAAACAGAAGTATAATACAATGGAAAATAGAGTGTCTTGGGGTACACAGGGTTAGATAGGGTGATTGTGGAAGACTGTTCTGGGGAGGTGAATTTGAATTGAGATCTGAAAAATGAGAAGGAGGTAGCTTAGAAAAGGACAAAGAGGGAGAAAAAGGAATAGTAGGTAAAACCCCCAAAAGGAATAAGCTTGGTATGTTCTAGGAACAGGAAGCAAGCCAGTGTAACTGAAACCTAGTCATCAAGGGAAGAGCAGAGAGTAAAGTCAGAGAGTTAGGCAGAGCCCAGATCATACAGAACCTTATAGGCCACTGAGAAGAGTTAGGATCTTATACTAAAGACAGTACAAATCAGTGGAATTTTTTAAACAAGAGAGTGACATAAGCGGATTTTCTTCTTCAATTTTTTGTTATGGAAAATATCAAACAAATACAAAAGTAGAGAAAATATTACCATGAACCTGATGTACCCTTTTCAGTCAGCTTCAATAATTATCATTATGTCGGGCCGGCCCGTGGCTCACTCGGGAGAGTGTGGTGCTGATAACACCAAGGCCACGGGTTCGGATCCCATATAGGGATGGCCGGTTGCTCACTGGGTGAGTGTGGTGCTGACAACACCAAGTCAAGGGTTAAGATCCCCTTACCGGTCATCTTTTTAAAAATAATAATAATAATAATAATAATCATTATGTGGATAATCTTTTCATTTCTTCACTCATCCAGCCCCCCACTGCCCAAAGAACTGTGAAATACATTTCAAGTCTTATTTCACGTGATTTTGTTTTAAAAGATTACTCTCGCTGCTCTGTGCAGAATACCTTGTTGGAGGATGAGAATAGAATCAGGGAGAGGAGGAGGGGACCATTGCAATAGTTCAGGAAAGGGAAGATGATCTGGAATGTGGTGGTGGGAATGGAAATAGTGAGGAGTGGTGAAATGCAGGTATATTTTAGATATAGAACTGACAGCACTTGCTGGTGGATGGGATGTGGGAGGTGAAGAATATGAGGCATATCAGGTTTTGGGTCCTAGCAACTGGGCATTTTGGGGGCACCTTTCAGTGAGAAGGCTGGGGAGGAGATGTTGAGTGGAGCCCAGGGAGGAACCATGGCTGGAAATAGAGATTTGGGAGTCATCAGCACGTTGGCGGTATTTATTTAAAGTTATGGGACTGGGTGAGATCACCTAAAGAGAGATGGAGATGGAGAAGATAAAGGGCCCCAGGCCTAGTCACTTATTAGAGATCACGAGAGCAGTCATCATTCAATTTGGGGACTTTGGAAGTAATAAGCACTGTTCTCAAACAGCTCATACCCCTCCCTATCTACAAGGATATTAGTCTTTCTAAGATACGGGAGACAAAGTAGAAGTAAACAGCAAAGTCCTCTCTTCTGGATCCTTGCATTGACCTAAAGGAACCCTGTCTGTCATATCACCTGAGTGCTCAGGACCTTCCTCTTTAAAACTCTGCTTGCTAAATATCATGTTCTCTGGCTATGAGGTGTAGAAGCTAGAGATGCAATGAAGTCTGAGGCTCAAACAATAGCCAATATCCACCCTCATCCCAACTCCAATCTTTCAAATCAGAGGTCTCACTACCTTCCTCAGCCAAAGTAGATAAGAGAGGACATAGCCTAAGGGAACCTTGGCAGCTGTATGGTCCCCTGGAAAGATGGGCCCCTGATCCTTGAGGTGAGTAGATGCTGAAGAGGAAGAGCCAGACCCGAGCCTACCTTGTCCTCACCTCAGGTGTTCCAGGGTGGTCAGCCGATCTCTACCCCCCAGTTTGCCTTCCCAGAGCCTCAGACCAATGCCCCAGCGTTATGGAGATGTCTTCTGGGAGAACCTTAGTCAAAGGCCCAGGTGAGTAGGGAAGGAGAAAATTGGGACTAACTGCAGGTGGGAAGATGAGGCTGTACAACTTTAAACTGCCATAAATCCTTATAGCAATAAGCCCTAGTCTGGGCATAATTTCCCAATGGCTAATGGACATTGTAGCTCCAAATGCCAGACAGGTGGTTGGGAGAGGTCATTAGAGAAGCAATAGGGAATATAGAGGTCAATAGAGAAGCAAAAGGGGGTATCCCCTCTGCACTTAGCCCCCTTTTTGTGCTTCACAGCCCCATCTGGATGGAGGAACAGTATTTTCCACCCATGCTGGTATGACAAACTCTCTGCCCTTCAACACTTCTCTGTGAAAATTGTACCCACTGCCATCCTGTCCCCAGCCCTCCTATCACCCCTTCCCTCTGGAGTTCCCCAACCAGTGTACTGACCCTCCTTTCTGTGAATCAGTTATCCTGTTTTCCAGATCACTGCCGGGCTTCCCACGACTCCTGTCTCCCTAGTTCAGTTCAAGCTCCCCTGAGAGACCCAGTTCTGCCCTCAAGCTCATTTTCCCCATTTTCTGGCACAGAGAGCCGCCGGTTGCTCCCAGCCTGGCCTGTTCCCCCCTGAGGGGCTCCCACCCCCCGAGATGCTTTGCAGAAGAAAGAGGAGGAAACCACGTTTGGAGGGAATGCAGCAGGGACCTGGGGGCATCCCTGCCCGGGTAAGGGCTGTCACTTATCACCTGGAGGACCTAAGGAGGCGTCAGAGAACCATCAATGAGTAAGGAGTCGAGACATCTGGGCTCTGGGAGCCAATAAGGGTTTGGGGGCAGGATGGCTTAAGGTAAGGAAAGGGTTGAAAGCTTTAAGGGAATTGGAGGTTGTTTGGGAAGGAACCGTGAGTTTGGTGCTATTGAAACAATTTCTATAATGTGGAAAGAAGGAGGGAACTGAGGGACGGAGGATGAGTCACATGAGCTGGAAGGAGTGGAAACTGGATCACTAAAAACAAGAAAGCAGATTATAGAACTGTAGGACAATGGGGAGGTAGGGGGCACTTCTGGGTCCTTGGACTGAAAATACTTCAGTCTGAGAGAAGCAGAATTGGGAATGGAGAGTTGGAGGTCAAATGACAACACCCTTGGGTCCCAGCAGGAAGTATTTCAGAATGGAAAGGTGAAGAATGGAGGGACAGGAAGCCTGGCCCCCAGGTACCTCTCTCCTAAGCCTAAAGTCTCCGCAGACTGAAAAAGGCCCAGTGGGGCAGCTCTAGGGCTGCATCTGAGCCCCTAGTGCTTGACGAAGACACCTGTGGATTCCCCAGCACCACTGATCTGGAAGAGGAGAGGGCAACCTACCCACAGGAACAGAACCATTTTCTCGCTCCTGGCAGGGCCCAGGTGTGGTTGGAGTGGAAATTGTTGGGGTGGTGGAGGGAGATGGGGATCCCTGGTCTTGCATGAAGCCAAGAGCCAGGTTGGATAGCTGGATTTGAGAGGAACAAAAATAAAGCAGGTGAGAGCCAGAGACTTGGGGTACCTGGGATTGGAGACAGGAAATCTGGAGAAACCTGCTTTTCCGTTCTTTCATTCTTTTCTCAATTTCTTTCATCTTTACAGCTGCTTTGGTCTCCCTGGAGTCCCCTGGGCCAGGCAGGGGCTTGCCCCTCCAGGCGGTGGAGCTCTCTGCTCCCCTTCCACACTGTCACAGCCAGTAGGAACCCCCTTTCCAGCCCCTGGGAGATGGAGTTTGAGGAGTAAGGAGAAACCATCCGAGCCCACGATGCTGGTGCTTCCTCGGGGACCCAAGACTAGCTGCATCACCAGAAGCGCCCCCATTGCTGGCCTCAAGGGGTTTCCCTTCCCTCGGCCTCTCCACCTGCCTTTCCCGTCCTCTGGACTAGGCATTAACACCCCTCGTGGGCCCAAATCTCGGCCTGCCCCTCTCCCAGCAACTCCCCAAGTCGTTTTCCTCCGGGCCGCACTCCTGCCCTGTGCTTTTCTGTCTGTTCTGTTATTAAAAATCAAGCAAGTGGAGCCTGGAATTGTTCTCCCTTCTGTGAAGCAGTGATGGACAGGCTAACGGGGCAGGAGGGCTCCTTTCACCTTCTCGAGGACCCAGCTTCAATGAAGACGGGCTGGGTCCCCAAAGTCAAGGAGTGTTGCCAAGGCGAGGAAAATCCCGCCCCCAGTCCAGCGTTCCTCGCCCAGCCCCTCCAGTTTCAGCCCTAGACTGCCGCCCCCGACCTCCCGTCCGTCCGTCCGTCAGTCAGCTGGGCTTCCGCCTCCGGGACCCGGGATCCCGCGCCTCAGAGAAGTTGCTCCCTTCTCAGCAGCCAGTCCCTCCGCCTGGGTCGAGCCCCAGCAGCTGGATCCCTCCGCCCAGCGCCCCACCCAGAACCCCAAGTGTGCTGACCCCAGGTTCTTTTCTCCACCCCCATCCCCTTAATTGGGAGGCCCCGCCCCGTGCGCAGTGACGTCAGACGCCGCTGTCAGCCGGCGCTGGGGGGGGTCGGTGTGGGGTAGAATGGCCGCTGCCGCCGTCACCCGCGGGACCCCAGGAGGTAAGAGCCAGGGCCTTCCGTCCGCCTCCCCGCCCCCGCGCCAGGGGGCGCAACTTTACCCTGTCCTGACGTGGAGCGCCGCGCCAGGGACCACCGTCCCTCCTCCCGCTTCGTCCCCACCTCCCCGCTTCCTTCTCCTCCCCCGCGCCAGGGGGCGCCGCTCCGCCCTGGGCCCCACGACAAACCAGCGCGTGCCGGGACTGTCCCGGGGACCCCCGCACCCGGCACCTGCACTGTCCTTCGCCCTCCGCGCGCCCGCGGACTCTGCTCAGCGACTACTCCAGAACATCCCTCTGTGGGGGCGGGACCCTCCTACCTCGGAGGTTCTCCGGGGACCGCCGTCCCCCAGTGGGGGGCCGCCCGGGGCGCCAGCCGTCCGAGTCCCACGCCGCTCCCTGGCCCGCAGCCGAGGACCCGCTCCGCACCCTGGCAGGCTGCCTAGCCGGGACTGCGCACCTGCGTCCTGGGGTGGAGTCCTTACCCCAACCCCAGCTTCGCTGCACACTGCCGAGCTCGGACGGGCCTCCTCCCCCTCTCCATCCCTGGACACCTGGCGGAGCCGGCGCTGAGAGCCTCCTCCAGCTCCCATCTGTTTCCCCAGGAGGGCGGAGGCTCAGGCTGGAGCCAGAGCGGTAGATGGGGTAGGGTAGGCCTGGAGACCAGGGGAGGCAGAGGCGTTTGGGGAATAGGGTGCAGAAGGGGAGGATGGTGGAGAGAGCTGTCAGCCTCAGGGCCGAGGATGGGTTGTCCTGAGAGTGAGAAGCTGGGTTCTGGGTGTCTAGCCCAGATTCTAGCAGGCCCTGACAACCTGGAGGAGAGTAGGTTAGGATCAGTTACCAGAGCTGCCCTTCCCTTTGGAAAAATCAAACAGAGAAGAAACTCAGGGTGTGTCTTCTAAGGCCTAGTTCCCCCCTCCCACCCCCGGACTTAGATCTCCTGCCCTCCCCCCAGCATCCAGGCTGTCTTGCCAAACCATCCTCTGAGGACCGGATGCCCTGAGTTCCAGCCCCCAGGACCTGACCACATAGCCCAGCGGCTGCAAGAGCTGGAGCTGTAGGGCTTCTGAGGCTCCAGCCCTGTCAGCCTTCTCCCCTCCCCCACCCCACTCCGTTTCTTCCTGATCACTGTGTTCTGTTGTATCTCCCCACTCCTGTTGGTTCCTGGCACCATGTCTGAGTTCTCCCTCACCTCTATTCCCTGGCTGTACTGTCACATCACAGTCCAGCCCTTTCTGCCCTCTTCCTCATCTTTCCCAGATGACATGACCCAGTTCTGTACCCCCTCCCCCACCTTACACTCCTCATCCTGGATCAATGTGGGGGAGTCTGCCATGACCTTGTTCTCTCCCTTTCCAGCACAGACTCCCCCTCCCCCCGGCCCCTCAGGCCGGGGGTGACCTTGCCCCCTGGAGCCCTCACCATGAATACCAAGGACAACACCGAGGTTGCTGGTGAGTTCACAGACCAGGTCTTTCGTCCTCGTCCTCCCTCTTCCCTACCCTTCCCACTGCTGTTGCCATGGTTTCAGTTTTCCCCAATGCTCTGAACTGCCTTCAGCCCTTTCCCCCCAGACTATCATCTCAGGGATGCCAGGGACAGCACACGAAGCCCTCCCTTCTAATTCCCTCTAGAGAACAGCCACCACCTGAAGATCTTTCTCCCCAAGAAGCTGCTGGAGTGTCTTCCTCGCTGTCCGCTGCTGCCTCCAGAGCGGCTACGGTGGAATACAAATGAGGTTTTCTAGGGAGCCTGGGGGATTAGGGCCCAGAGAGGTCTAGTGGGCTAGAGGAGGGTGAATGGGGGTCTTTCTGTGTCTGTGACACTCCTAAGTGTAGAGTGCTGTTCTAGGCTCTTTGGGGATCATAGGAGAGGTATAAAGACATGAATCTTGTAGGAGCCCATTTCTCCTTGGCATATCCACCTGAGTAAAAACAACAGCTACTGTCTATAAAGTATTTCTTACACACTGGGCACAGTGCTAAGCACTTGGCCTGTGTTATCTCATTTAATCCTCTAAGGACGCTCAGAGCAGGCACTGTTATTACCCCTGTATTATTGATGAGGAAACCAATTTACCTCATGTAGTTTGTCTAACTCACTCCAGAGCCCCTGGTTTAAACCACCACTCATACTGGCTCCTTCTGGAGGGCACAGTCCTTGTGTTACACATCTTCTGTATTCTGTACACTTAGTGCCTCGTAGGTAGTTGGTGGTCAATAATTATTGGTTTGATGTTAGAAGAGAACTGTCAGTAAAAGAGTGTATGTAATTGTTTTAAATGCCATAGAGCCACCCTGAAAAGACCATGTGGTCAGAGACTTTCATGGAGCATCTAGGAAAGGATTTGGTCTGTAGAATGGCTAGGATTTCCAGACATGGAGAGGCACTTTTGGCTTACAGGGCACTAACATGCAGGAGCTGACTGCTCAGGGCATGTTCAGGGAGGAATCAATGGGCCCATCTGGCAGGAATGGTAGGTGAAATATGGATAAATAGTAGAAATGATGGTTTGATCCCTTGTTGGGAGAACCTTGGAGTCAGACTGAAGAATCTGGAATTCCTGGCAGTGTCAAACCATTGAAGTTTTTTGAGTCAGGAAGGGGTACACAAATGGAATTTGGGGCGACTAAAATTATTCACAGTATGCAGAAAGAATGATCAAGAATATGGACCTGGCCCCAAGATAAAGGCCCCAGTTGGGAGGGAGAGAAGAGAAGGAGAGAAGGTTAGACTTTCATCTGAGATGCAACCTGGGATTCTTAGGAGGGCAGTGGACATCGCAGGGTCCAGATACCTGGAAACATGCTCCACTAGCTGCCACAACTCAGCAGGGAGTGAGATTCTGAAGGGATGACCAAGAGGCCAGGCTGAGACTCTCTATGAAGGGGACACCCACCTGAGTGCTTCCTGTCCTACAGGAGATTGCGTCCTACTTGATCACCTTTGAGAAGCATGATGAGTGGCTATCCTGTGCCCCAAAGACAAGGTGAGAAAGTCCAAGAAGATGGGGAGTGGCAGCAGCCCTGGGTTCTGTTGACAGAACTCAAGGCCAACCCTTCCATTCCCAGGCCTCAGAATGGCTCCATCATCCTCTACAACCGCAAGAAGGTGAAATATCGGAAGGATGGTTACCTCTGGAAGAAGCGGAAGGATGGGAAGACCACCCGAGAGGACCACATGAAGCTGAAGGTCCAGGGCATGGAGGTAAGAGTCAGGCATCCAGCTTATCTGCCCTAGCCCACCCTCCTCCACCCTCACCTGGGCTCCAGCCCTGCTGGGGCTTGGTGGCATTGTCTGCCTCACTCACTCCCGGTCGCTTTTCCCTTCTCACTCCCTTTGGATCAGCTGACTGACTGCTTAGCCCACTCTCTGCTTCCCGTTTCCCTCCATGACCTAGCTCTCCAGGCCTTAGGCCTCCCCTCCAGTCCCCTCACTTCTCTTGCATTTCCCTCAGGGATCCAAGCAATGATGCTCTAAGCACAGGTTTCTTTTCCCCAGATCATTGCTCCTCATCTCAGATGTACACTTGCTCTGCCCTCTGACATTTCTAGATGGTCCCATATAGTTCTTGCTGTAAGGCCCCAGCCGCTGTTCCCTTATCTCTATCCCTCATCTATGACTTGAGGCAGCTGGGATTGGAAAGGAGTGGGGGGAGGGTTAAAGAGAACTGGTGGAAAGACTGGGATTCCTGCAAAGGGACTGAACAGAGGAAGAGTTGGGGAGCAGACTAGCCCTCCCCCCACCCCAGCCTGTCTCCTGGCAGTGTCTCTATGGCTGCTACGTTCACTCTTCCATCGTCCCCACATTCCATCGGCGCTGCTACTGGCTACTCCAGGTAAGGACAGAAGAGCTCAGGAAGCCAGACTCTTCCTGGCTCTTTGAGGGATATGGGGGTCTGAAAGGATGAAGTGGAAGGATGACTAGGTTCTGAGCGTGGAAAGGAGACTGGGAAGAAGAGAGGGGGGTTGAAGATGGAAAGAGCCAGAAATTGGGGGTGTGGTGGGGGGATGTCCAGGAAGAAAATGAGGACTAGGAATCTGAGCCTTTGGACCTCAGGACCCCATGGCTCTCTGTGTATACTCTTGTGCTCTCAGAACCCTGACATCGTCCTTGTGCACTACCTGAACGTCCCAGCCCTGGAGGATTGTGGAAAGGGCTGCAGCCCCATCTTTTGTTCCATCAGCAGCGACCGTCGAGAGTGGCTGAAGTGGTCCCGGGAGGAGCTGTTGGGACAGCTGAAGCCCATGTGTAAGTCAGCAGGGTGAGGATAGAGCTCCAACGGGAAAGTGGAAATGGGCCTTCCAAAGGGGCCAAGGTGATGGCCACTTCCCTGTGGGGGTGCTGGTGCATTCAAAAGTGTTGAAATATGCAGAAGGGACTAAAGGATAGCCGTGTCCAAGCAGTCTTGAGGCTACTGGCCTCTCCTCACCCAGCCAGAAGTCTTGGAGCATGTCAGGAGCTTGGAGGAGCCATC